ACACACACACACACACACACACACACACAGCCTGCTGACATCCAAGCCACATTAACAGGTATAATTCAGGACAGCTGACAGCACCAGTCCCTCCTGGCTGGAGTTAGATGGACTTACGGTGAAACCCACACACTCTGGATCAGCTGAATGAACTGACACATGAATGAAAAGCGCCCATCAACAAGAAGGCAGCTCAAAGTGCTTTACATAACCCTGAAAACCCTTTATCAGACACGATGTGAGAGCAATGCTTTGTGTCTATAAAATATAATCAAGGATGAAAAATAGTCTGAAATAATAAAAAAACTAAATGACCTTGGACCTTTTGTGGAGGAGTAAATAAAGGTCCACTTCCTCTGTAGATCTTTCAATCATGTGGCCTTCGTCAGTAAATAGGACATTACGTCATTTTTATTGAAAGGCATAAAAGAACAGTTCAAATAGGAGTTCCTCAATTATTTTTGTATTGTTAAAGTATTTATAAATAGGCATAAAATGTTCCCCACTCCATCCATTTGTGTTGGTTACTTATTATATGAACTATTAAAGCACAAACTTCTTCATAACCTCAGCCATCAGTCATGCAAATGAAAGTCCTGCAACAGCTCCAGCATTTATATGGACAGGATCTCTTTATGTTTCTCAAACAAGTCAACCAACTAAACCAATTGATAAACAAATCTGTTGTTGTATTATTGCATTTGCAGACATGCAATTCCCTTTCAGTCTAACCAAACAATGCATCACAGCCATGTGGAATGTGTATCTGGAAGATTTTCATGAATCATTTTTAGTTGAATAAAATTCTCCTACTTTCTCACTGTCTGTATGAATCATCACCCCAGCAATTACTTCCACAGACTGTAGATAGAGCCATCCAGATTATTTTTACTTGCACCAAGGATCTAGACTGCTCAGATTAGGGGGCAATCAGAATTTTTTTTCACACAGTAAATTTAGTGTTGACATTTTTTTCCCAAGTTTTAATGAACACGTCACAGTAGGAAGTACCAAGCTGTGTTATTATAATAATAATTATTATTATTATTATAACAACAACAAAAATAATAATAATAACACATATAACAAATTCTTGTGCTTCTTTAGAATTCAAACTCACATAAAATGAGCTCAGTTGAGTATGTTTCATCACAGCAATTTCAAGAACAAGTATGCTGTAGTGAAGCATTTCTGTCTTTTCTTTGTGATGCACACAGCACTGAAAGCAAGCGACACAAAGCAGGAAATTGCCTGCTTTGTGTCGAGATACTTCCCCCCCCAGAGAATGGTTTAGTATGTTTGTCCAGAGCAACTACAATTTTGTGAGAGACCCCTTCATTTCTATTAATGGTTATGTACAGGAGACGGAAACAACATCATGGGCAGAGGCCTCGTCAAAGCCCCATGTGACCAACTTTTAGCCAAAAGCTTTGTAATTGTAGAGGTTTGATTAATGTCTAAATGCATGTGTAGTTTAGTTTACAATTAACTACCTAATATTTATTTTTCTGCACTTTTGATAAATACAGAATAATTTGCAGGTTAGAATGATGTGCTTTACTATAATGTTTGATATTATTTCCTGTTACCCCTACCCCCTTTGCATTGATACCCAAAGTCCCTTAAATTGCTCCTGACTGAAAGATTTCATAAATTAAAAAAAATCAATCTCAACCATTGTTTTCAAGTATTTTTATTTACTTTAAAACCTCAACCTTGATTCACACCGTCAACATTTATTCGGCAGATGAGTGGAAATGTGGAATGACAAGGGTCAAAAGTTACTCACAAGTATTCGTACAATATCATGATTCATTGCATTCCTGCTACTGATTAATAAAAGTAACACAGAGCCCCTCAAAGGTCAATGAGTCATTGTGCACACTTGCGAAGAGTAACTCAGCCACAATATGTTCTTACCTAAAATATGGGCAAGGTAAACTGAAGGACACACCTGTTTTACAACGTTCAGGAGTTAAATCCTCATCAAACAGTGACTGTGAAGCTGTGCATCTGTAGCTCATTGTTATCCAGAACCAGTTTCTTCGTGGTGTCAGATGTCAAAAGATGGACACGGCTCCTTAGCCATGTTGTTCATATGCCAGTTTATAAGCTGTGCGGTGATAACAACATTAACAGGGTTCACTTCTGCACACAAAAGCACATGGTGTTAATATAAATTGTACGATGGTAAAAGTTTGCAAACAAGACATTCACATTTCCATCAGCCAAATGTAACCAGGTTACTTCAGGAACATGACACAATGAAACTAGTGCTGTAAAACCACACCTGTTTGCCTCACCTTTTCATGAAAAAGTGGACTTCGGCCTCTCACCAGAGTATTATGCTTCCCCTACCCTTTTATTAACACAGCCCGTATCAATACTGCTGATGTTAAATCTGCACAAAACACCAAAAAACATTAAAATGGTATTCAAAATTTAAAATTATTATGATTATTATGAAATTTGAAACAAAGCAAACCTAAAATAAATGTAAAATAATAATTGAACTTGCTTCCAATTCGAATCAGACGGGTCCCATTTGTCGATCACATATTTGACCCCAGTGAATTTGCAGCAGCATCTATCTTCCTCAGCTCCAGCACTAAATTTTTACCTCCACTGTTGAGTACAGAGGGTACACTTTGATGGACAAAAAGAAGAAAAAAATTTTTTAAATTGAGGGTAAATGGTCTCATTGTGTTCAGTCAGATGATGTTCTGACTGTAGTTTTCATGAAAAGCACCACCCATAAAGATCATTGATAACATGGTATTCTTTGTATTTTGAGATGGTAGATAGTCACATGTTTACTTATCTATTAGTCCTATCTAGATCAACCAAAACAACTCATATTTAAACCTAGCACCAATGCAGCAACCTTTTCCTCCAATGTTTACTGTTGTAAAACACTTAAAGAAAACAAGAATGAACATTTTACATGACAGAAAATTCAAAGCAAATTCTGCACTGAAACAGTCTGAAGCATCTTTGTCTCCATCTCAACTGGTCCTACTGGATCATCTGAACGAATCATAAATAGGCGGCAAGTGAAGACAGATTAAACCAGTGTCTGCTGAATGAATGGAGCTGGACTTTTGCTTTTGTAGTTTTCATGAAAAGTACCACCCATAAAGATCATTGATAACATGGTATTCTTTGTATTTTGAGATGTGGTCACAGGCGAGGCAGATAGGATGAATGAATTCATTGCTCATTGACAAAAGATGAGGGGTGACTTTATAATGCTTTCTCCACTCAAAGTAACTCATGTATGCATCATGATCCTTGTCCAGGCCTTGCAGAAACTCTGCCAGTCCTTTAGCATCAGGGAAATCATTTACATGAATAAAGGAACCCCTGGGAAGGAACTGCTCATAGTTTTCTCTTGGTGGACCCAGAACTACAGGGACCGCCCCTGCTACGAGGGGCCCGTTGACCTTCTCTACGAAGTAGTCTTTGTGGAGCGAGTTCTCAAACGAGAGATAAAATTTACAACTTGCGAGGGTTGGGTAATAGTCTTCATATTTCAATTGGTGTCCATTAAAAGCAGCACCAAAGACATTAATCTTTATGTGTTGGGACAGTTCTCTGTAATATTTCTCTCTTGAAGCTGTTCCAGTAGCTGGGTTGTTGTTACTGACAATCCAACACACCAGTTTGTCTTTCTTGGGCAGAACAAATTCCTCCTCTGTCTCTGTTTTCTTGATCGTGACCTCATTCCTCACTGTGATGTCAGCATCTCGTCTGTAGCTCAGCGTTAAGTTGAACAGCTTTTCCAGACCTGGAATCTTCAATGTGTTGGTCGGAGATTCCACATGGAACCAAATCCACTTCTGAAAATATGGACGTGGCTCCTTGGGCATGTTGATTAAATGCCAGTTTATGTCTTTATGGAAGAAAATGACTCCCTCTGCTTGGCTGTACAGTGATCTGTCATCAGTCAGTGTGCAGCTATCAATGTTGAAGTAGCTTGAGCAAATTTGGAAATTAAACCTCACACCAAGAGGCCAGAGCCACAGCAGAACAATGGGCTTTTCAGGTAACTCTATGGCTTCATTGGTTCTTTCATCAGCTACTGTAGACAAAGTCTGACACACAGGAGATGGAGGCTTGAAATGTACAAAGAAGGCAACAACACAGCAGACAAGGCCAAGTGTAGCTACCTTTGCCAGGCATGAAGTTTTATTTAAAGATGCTATCATCTGTGGAAGGAAAAGAAAAACTGATGTCATCTCATTAGCAAACAGCATAATGGTTTCAGTAATGACACAGGCAGTGAATGTCCCATCATAGTTTTGCAACTTTTTCATCCTGAGATACAGTAGTTGTATTCTCTTAGTTTTTTTCAGGTTTGTGTCTGTTACATTTTAGAATCTCCTGCTGTGTTCTCACATGAGCTCATTCATAGACTATCTAAAGTGTTTACTGGGGCATTGGCACGGCAAACTCTGAAATATGTGTTCTTACATACATAATCTGTTGATAATCTCCTAAAATGATCTGGAGCTCAGTACATGTCCGAAGCATTTTATGTTTCTCTATGTACAAGGGTTCACCTCCACAGTATTCAAAAATGTGCCTTGTGTTATCCTGATCATAATATGTAAGCTAGACTTTCAAAAACCAATACAAAGGTTCAACGTCAATACAGCAGTAACAATGTGATGTCGCTAATGCAAAAGTAAAGCCATGTTATCTAGCAGCTTATCAAGTGCTGGCTTTAGCTGCTCGGCCATTGAAAGCAAAAAGCTGGCAACACTGGTAACCAAGCACCCAGTCCAGCTGTGTCTTTATGTTTTCATACACGTGGAATGGGTAGCATTGAAAAGACAAACACTATTAGCATCACTGCGAGGCTGAATTTGCCACATCTGCAACATCTGTACTCTGTGAAAGATTTTTTTTTTTGCAGGTCCTGTACCTATTTACTTATTTTGTCATGGTGTAACTACTCATCTTGCATCACTGAAAGGGTGTTAGTTGTTAAGAAAAAAAAGGAAACAGACTTATAACTGCTAACTTTGCTGTTGCTCATAAGGTTCCTGTTCAGTTGGTATGATTGTGACTGTTTATTATTTGCAAAGCAAATGTTTTTGGACATTTATTTAAATAGAAGTGCTTTTAATAAAAGTGTGCGGTATACTACTTCTGAATTCATTATTGAATTTTGCACATAACAAACAATTAATAAATCAAATTTAACAATTAAACAATTATTAAATGAATATAAATTAATTCACTTATATGTAAAAGATGTGTGCGATTAATCACAGTTAATCACAGAAAATCATTCGATTAATCGTGGTTAAAAATATTATTGGTTGCCCAGCACTACTATTCACATATAAGGATTATCTCTCGGTGGTAAATGTGTGCCTTGGATTTTCTATCTTTAGTCATTTTATCACATTTTAGATGACTAATCTATCTTTTAAAATCTATTTTGCTGCATTTCATTGTCAGCACCTTCAATAGCTTTGTCTAATTTGTGGCTCATCTGTCATTTGCGAAGCGCTCTGGACTGCTCTGACCCGAAAGGAAGACGCCACACACATAGTTGAAATGATATTGAAGGGGTCAGAACACAGGTCATCAGCTAAAACGACTTCCTACCTGCCATATGTCATTTATTCATCATTTATTTACCACGATCACCACTGAGAAGAAACGGGTTCTCACCTTGCTGACGGGATCAGGGCTGGACACCTCTCTCTGGTGGTCTGTCACCGGAATACAGGTTTAAAAAACACAACCGGAGACACAACCACACGAACAATATTTCCGCTCGTTGTTTGCACACACACTATCGACAGCGTCGTCCCTCAGAATTAACGGTGCGATTCGGACTAACGCTCAGGACGCAGACAACTGTTCTCACAGATGCAGGCGGGGGCTTCAGGCGGAAGCGGAAATTTCCACTAAGACATGAGCAATAAGTTATTTTAATAAATTCTGCGTAAGCATAACGGACAATAGAGCGCCTACTGTGGAAATGTCGTACCCCTCGGTTAAGTTTTTGAAAAAGTGCCAATAATTTCTACCATGTGGCCGTTTGAAAGACAAACTACACTTCACTTCAGAGAAAACCTGCAAACGACCTTAAAACCTTCAGTGCGTCAACATGGCTTTTTACGGCTGCACCTGTGGGCGGACACGGAGTTCATGATGCATTCAGTGCCCCTTCATAATCTCGGGAATATAGTCAAACGTCTGAATTGACCCATAATGGTGTTTTAATACAGGGAATTCACTGTACCGGTTCATGAGCGTAATTTCTGATCTACAAGACCCCCCCCCACCAAATGGTGTTGGCAAGGTCATTTTAAAGTAAAACTATGTAAAGCGGGTGTAAAGTACAGGCTTGTCCATTAGAGTTGTAAAATGATAGCTGCTTGTAATATGAGTGTGCTGATATTCTGCTGGATCTATGCAACTGATGCCCCACCTAACACTACTCAGTAGAAAACATAAAGTAAAACTAAGTAACTTTAGAAACTGGACACTCACTTGTAGTCTTTATATTTCACAAACTGCTATGTTGGTTCGCTCAAATATCCCTGATGGAAGAACAATCAATAGAACAGAAAAAAATATCAAATGAAGTACCTATAAACAAAGTAAAAATAAATATAAGACAATCATCCAAATGACCCCAATAAAAGTTACATATATATATATATATTTGGATGTGAATACTTGTTTATTTGTCTAGATGTATGAGTCTTCATATTTCAATTGGTGTCCATTAAAAGCA